ACACAGGGGAGGAACTTCTGAGTGTAATGAACAGAGAAATCGACAGATGGCTGTCTCCGCGCAAACTGAAAATCGGAACCATGTTGACCGACAACGGAAAGAACATGGTGTCTGCTCTGCGTCAAGGAAGGTTGTGCCATGCGCCATGCATGGCTCACGTGTTCAATCTGGTTGTCAAGCGGTTCCTAAAATCCACCATCCCACTGCAAGACATCCTTAAAATGTCACGTAAACTTTGCATGCATTTCAGCCATTCCTACACCGCAAAGCACACCCTCCTTGAGCTGCAGCGGCAGAACGGAATTCCACAGCATCGCCTGATCTGCGACGTTGCAACAAGGTGGAATTCAACCCTACATATGTTAGACCGCCTTTACGAACAGCGAGCGAAGCCATCACCGATTTCCTGATGTTACAAGCGGATAAAGGTACTCCCCTGTGTAACTTAGATGTCAGCCATTGGCAGCTCATGCGTGACACCTGCCGCTTGCTCAGGCCCTTTGAGGAGGCCACGCTATTCGTGAGTCGGCAGGACTATGGGATGAACGACGTCATTCCTCTGTTGCACGTCCTGGAACAAATGCTGTTAACAATGGCTGGTCAGGGTGCGGTAGACGTGGCGCACAGATCTCAACGCCACATGACCCCTGTGGGGGCAGGACAGGAAGAAGAGGAGGAGGTAGAGGAGGACATTGGTGCTCAGGAATTATTGAGTGAAATGGGTGGTTTTTTTTTCCACTCAGCGGACAGGAGTGGAGGAGCAGGAGCATCTGGTAGAGGAGGAGGAGGAGGAGAGAGACAGAGGACCCAGACGCACCGTGGCAGTATGCTGTGGAGATGGAGGCAGGGAGTCCCTCGCATTCCTTGGCACACATGGCCCATAGCATGCTCGGTTGCTTGCGCGTAGCGACAGCCGAATAATAACCATCAGACAGAGGGATGACTTTTGGCTGTCCACCTTGTTGGACCCTCGCTACCGTTCAAAAATGGTGGCCTTTTTCACACCTGCTGAGAGGGAGGCCAAAATAAAGTACTATAAAAACCACCTATGTAGTCAGTTGGTCTCTGCCTTTCTGCGCCAACGTCCATCCTCAGACACTGTGGGCCCTGTGCGCTCGCGTTCCGCTGCCATGGCAGCAGGGGAGGGGTGGGGTGGTAGGAGCAGTGGCAGCTCCACCAGCAGCGGCTGCCTCAGTCAGTCTGCAGTCGATGATGAGTAGCTTTCTTCACCAGCGCAGTGAGGAAACTACTAACCCAGCCGCAGCAGCAGCAGCAGCATCAGGTGGACCTGGAGCAGGACCTCAAACAACAGGCTTGGGCCTACTTGGACAGCACCCTGCCAACCGAGGTAGACAATCCCCTTGACTACTGGGCAACGAAACTTGACCTTTGGCCCCAACTAGCTGAATTTGCCCTTGAAAGGCTGTCATGCCCGGCCAGTAGCGTGGCATCGGAGCGCGTGTTTAGTGCGGCAGGAGGTAGGTATTGTAACTCCGCGGAGGACACGACTGTCCACCCCAAAGTGTGGAGAGACTCACGTTTGTGAAAATGAATCAGGCGTGGATTAGTCTGGATTTCAAACCACCAGTTCCTGACACAACTGACTAAATCCGCCATGAATCATGCCCCAAACATGTTATTAGGGACAAATGGAAGACCTCCACCTGATCCGTACATTTGTATATATATTTTATTGAGAGGCTGCTGGTCGGCCGACTCATGTTTTGCACATTTTTAATGACTTATACTCTGCAGGTCGGGCCCCTCATGAATTGGGGTTTTTAAATTATTTATACTTCGCTGGACGACCGTCACATGAATTGAACCTTTTTAATGACTTATACTCTGCTGGTCGGGCCCCTCATGAATTGGTGTTTTTAAATTATTTATACGTAGTCGCTGGACGACTGTCACATGAATTTTAAACTTTTTTTAATTTTTAGTCGACCAGTTCCAGACCGATGGAATAGCAATTTTTTTTTAAATATTTATTTGACACGTGTTGTCCATCTCATCAATGAGGTGGACTGTTTATTTATTGGCCACGGTTTGGCCCCCTCCTGTTTCTTACATTGTTAACTTGTTGTATCGGTCACGGTTTGGCCACATGTTTGGTTGTCTTGTTAAGATTTTCTGTAATGTACACAGTTACGCTTGACTTGTCGACTTTCCACAATCTACTAAGGTATAGCATCGCATCAAAGTTTTTTTTTTTTTTTTTTTGGTCTAAACCATTTCTTATAATGTCAATTTGTAGGATACGCCGCTGTAAGAGGCGACCTACTTTTTTGTCACTGTGTAGACATCTATTTATAGGCCGATGTTTGGCCAGAAAGATATATTTAGTAATAACCTAGCCGTTCAAGCCGCTCACTGAACACCTCGGGAATTGCTTTGTATATCTGTCGCCTTAGGGGCCGCTGTCTGGCGACATAATTTTTTGTCACTGTGTAGACATCTATTTATAGGCCGATGTTTGGCCACAAAAATATATTTAGTAATAACCTAGCCGTTCAGGCCGCTCCCTGAACACCTCGGGAATTGCTTTGTATATCTGTCGCCTTAGAGGCCGCTGTCTGAACAGCTCATGAATTGCTTTCTATATGTGTCGCCTTTGAGGCCGCTGGCTGGACAGCTGATGAATTGATTTGTATATATGTACTTATTGTCCGCTGTCCGGACAGCTCATGAATTACTTTTTGTATATAGCCTTCCAAACCACTCTCAGAATAAGTCATGATATTCATGCTGTGTATAGCCTTATAGGCCAATGGTCAATCAAGTCATGATTGTTATAGTGTGTATAGCCTTATAGGCCGCTGTCTTTACAACTTTATAATTCCATGCAGTATATAGCCCTATCGGCCACTTTCTGGCATCCAGTTGCTGTAGCCCCCATCACCACACTGTGCCACGGCCCCCTGTACCGCCTTCTCATACTGCTGCCAGATCCATCCTCTGCCATGTGCGTCTTTGTCGTCTGCTCACGCTGCTGGGTTCCAGTTTTAAACCTAGGCCTGTGTATGGCTTCCGAATACTGCTGCCTCCACCGCCACCCTGCGCCATGTGCCTCTGTCGTCTGCTCACGCTGCTGCGGCTTCCGCTTTTTAACCTAGGCCTGTGTATGGCTTCCGAATACTGCCTCCTCCACCCACCCTGCGCCATGTGCCTCTGTCGTCTGCTCACGCTGCTGACGGCTTCCGCTTTTTAAACTAGTCTGTGTATGTCTTCCGAATACTGCTGCCTCCACCGCCACCCTGCGCCATGTGCCACTTTCGGGTCTCCTCACACTGCTGCCAGGTCCATACTGATTCATGGCCCCCTGTACCGGCTCCTCATGAACGTGGTTCAGCGGGTTTGCATCACTTAACGGCAAATCGTTGACAAATGCTGGGACGTTCAGTGTTGTGCGCATTAAGCCAGACACCAAAGGGCAGCACAGACCTGTTATTACTCGCTCAAGCATGGCTGAACAAAACCAGTCTCTACCACAAATTGGACCCAGACCTGCCAGGGTCTCGTAACTAGATTGCACGGAGGAGTAGAGTCCGTTATCGGAATTAAATAGACAAAACGCCACACACAAAAAGAGTGGCCATTTCCAACACTTATTCCAGAAAGAGGAACAACCCGTTTCATATACGGCCCGTAGACGTTTCACGTCTGCCACATTCAGTCGATTTAAGACGCAAGCTCCACTTCCTGTGGTCTCTGACCGTCGATATACCTTTAAGTGTCAGCTTTGAAGCTATATTCCCTCCGGAGCACTGACACTGGTGCCCTTCCGTCAACATGCCTTTAAGTTTCAGTTTTCAACCATATTCCCCACAGAAGCCAAACTCTTGGGTATCCCAGAAGCTGCTCAGCGGGTCAGGGCAATAAAGCTCCCGGTTCGCAGGTTGTTCCGTCTTATGGATGGAAGTACGACGGTATATGATCTTCTTCGCACCCACGGCATTACCTCATAAAATTTCTGCATTGCATCTGCAATCACAACGCTGACTTCCCGGATCGCCACTCAGCCATTGGACTCTTGATAGTCGTCTCCCCACACTGCTGCTGGGGGGACTTTTTAACCTAGGCCTGTGTATGGCCTTCAATTGAAGCTGCTTCCGCTCCGCCACTCTGCCATTGGACTCTTGATAGTCGTCTCCCCACGCTGCTGCTGGGGGGACTTTTTAACATAGGCCTCTGTATGGCCTTTAATTGAAGCTGCTTACGCTCTCCGCCACTCTGCCATGGGCCTCTTGGGTATCCCAGAAGCTGCTCAGCGGGTCAGGGCAATAAAGCTCCCGGTTCGCAGGTTGTTCCGTCTTATGGATGGAAGTACGACGGTATATGATCTTCTTCTTCGCACCCACGGCATCACCTCATAGAATCTCTGCATTGCATCTGCAATCACAACGCTGACTTCCCGGATCGCCACTCAGCCATTGGACTCTTGATAGTCGTCTCCCCACACTGCTGCTGGGGGGACTTTTTAACCTAGGCCTGTGTATGGCCTTCAATTGAAGCTGCTTCCGCTCCGCCACTCTGCCATTGGACTCTTGATAGTCGTCTCCCCCCCCACGCTGCTGCTGGGGGGACTTTTTAACATAGGCCTCTGTATGGCCTTTAATTGAAGCTGCTTACGCTCCGCCACTCTGCCATGGGCCTCTTGGGTATCCCAGAAGCTGCTCAGCGGGTCAGGGCAATAAAGCTCCCGGTTCGCAGGTTGTTGTTCCGTCTTATGGATGGAAGTACGACGGTATATGATCTTCTTCGCACCCACGGCATTACTTCGTAGAATTTCTGCATTGCATCTGCAATCACAACGCTGACTTCCCGGATCGCCACTCAGCCATTGGACTCTTGATAGTCGTCTCCCCACACTGCTGCTGGGGGGACTTTTTAACCTAGGCCTGTGTATGGCCTTCAATTGAAGCTGCTTCCGCTCCGCCACTCTGCCATTGGACTCTTGATAGTCGTCTCCCACGCTGCTGCTGGGGGGACTTTTTAACCTAGGCCTGTGTATGGCCTTCAATTGAAGCTGCTTCTGCTCCGCCACTCTGCCATTGGACTCTTGATAGTCGTCTCCCCACACTGCTGCTGGGGGGACTTTTTAACATAGGCCTCTGTATGGCCTTCAATTTAAGCTGCTTACGCTTCGCCACTCTGCCATGGGGCCCCTGTACCGCCTCCTCTTGCTGCTGCCAGGTCCAGAGTGTGTCATGGGTCCCTGTACGGCCTCCCATTGCTGCTGACTTCATCGCCAGACTCTGCCATGTGCCACTTTCAGGTCTCCTTACACTGTTGGTGGGTTCCATTTTTGTGATAGGGTGCTGTATGGCCTTCCATTGCTGCTGCCTCCACCGCCACCCTGCGCCATGTGCCTCTGTCGTCTGCTCACGCTGCTGACGGCTTCCGCTTTTTAACCGAGGCCTGTGTTTGGCTTCCGAATACTGCTGCATCCACCGCCACCCTGCGCCATGTGTCTCTGTCGTCTGCTCACGCTGCTGACGGCTTCCGCTTTTTAACCTAGGCCTGTGTATGGCTTCAGAATAATGCTGCCTACACCGCCACCCTGCGCCATGTGCCTCTGTCGTCTGCTCACGCTGCTGCTGCCAGGTCCATACTGATTCATGGCCCCCTGTACCGGCTCCTCATGAACGTGGTTCAGCGGGTTTGCATCACTTAAACGGCAAATCGTTGACAAACGCTGGGACGTTCAGTGTTGTGCGCATTAAGCCAGACACCAAAGGGCAGCACAGACCTGTTATTACTCGCTCAAGCATGGCTGAACAAAACCAGTCTCTACCACAAATTGGACCCAGACCTGCCTCATGCTGCTGCCAGGCCCGTAATCTGCCATGGGCCCCCGTACCGACTCCTCATGCTGCTGCCAGGCCCGTAATCTGTCATGGGCCCCTGTACCGCCTCCTCATGCTGCTGCCAGGTCCAGAGTGTGTCATGGGTCCCTGTACGGCCTCCCATTGCTGCTGTCTCCATCGCCACACTCTGCCATGTGCCACTTTCAGGTCTCCTCACACTGCTGGTGGGTTCCATTTTGTCATAGGGTGCTGTATGGCCTCCCATTGCTGCTGCCTCCACCGCCACACTGTGGCTCCACACTCTGGTTTTGGCCCCGTGACTGCCCAAATGAGTGAAAGTGTGCGGTGATTCTAAGATCGACGGCACTCATCTGCATGTCATACTGACTGACAGTATTATTTCTCTTCCCCAGCAGACTCCAAGGGCATTTAAATTAAAGGTACAGTGTTCTGCACTAATATAAAGGCTCTCTGAAGCCTAGAAACACCCTTTTTATAAGTTAAATTGCAGCGAATATATTCGGCTCGAAGCAAATTTATTCGGCGAATCAGCCGAACCGAATTTTTGAATAATTCGCTCATCTCTAATAATAATACATAGAAATTTCTGGGAGTCCCATTCCTCATGTAGATTTATGTTTTGTTAATGACCTAAATGGAATACGTGGTTTCTTCCTTTCCAAATAAATCTTTGTATGGCCACCTCTAGTTTATAGAAATAGTTCCGAGGGATGAGAATTGGAATTGTTCTAAAATAATATAGTATTTTGGGAAATATCAACATCTTAAATTCGGCTATTCTACCAACCCATGAAATTTCAAATTTATCAATTCTTTGCATTTCCAACATAGTGGACTGATACAATTTTTCAAAATTATTTTTAATGTATGTGAGGATGGGGCTGAGATATAGACACCCCAAATATTCAAATTTCTTGTTGGTCCAATGATAGGGAAATTTGTCCTTAAGAGAACTCAAAGAACTCTTTCGTATAGCAATTGGGAGAGCACAAGATTTTGTGATATTAAGTTTGTAATAAGATACCTCGCTGAAAGACTGCAGGGAAGTTGAGATTGCTGTGAGGGAGTTCGCTGGGTATCAGTGATAGTTAAGATGACATCCCGCAAACAGACAAATTTTGTGAGATGTGGACGCTACTTGGATGCCCGAGATCCGTGGATTATTTCTAATCTCGGTCGCTAAGGGCTCATCACAAATGAAAAAAATGATAGGGGATAAAGGACAACCCTGTCTTGTGCCATTAGTGATATTAAAGGGAGCGGATAGGGCATTAGATGTGAATACCTGAGCCAAGGGGACTGTATATAACGCCATAATGGCAGGTTTTATGAAGCCGTTGATACCAAATTTAGTGAGAGTAGCATCTAGGTATTGCCAATGGACTCTGTCAAACGCCTTCTCGGCATCTAGTGCTGGGAACACCGCTTGGAGTCCCCTTGACTCAACCAGATGCATCAAATTGAGAATTCTACGAGTCCCATCTGCCGCCTGCGGCCTTTTACAAAAAATACTTGGTCAGCTTTAATGAGAAGAGGAGTAATATTTAATAAACGAGTTGCTAATATTTTGGCATGGATTTTAAGATCTGTATTTAGTAGGGAGATTGGTAAAATTTTGATGACAGTCAGGCGCTTTTCCTGGTTTGGGTAGAGTAACTATAATAGCCCGCAGCATTTCAGGTGGAAATGAGGATGTAGACACCGCTTCATCATAAGTTTTTTTAAGGTGAGGAACTAAGATAGATTGGAATTCCTTATAGTATTCTGCGGTAAAGCCATCCGCCCCCCGAGATTTCCCCTTAGGCAAGGCGTTAATAGCCGCACTTATCTCACTTTCCAGAATGGGTTGATTAAGTCCTTCCAATTTTGCTTTATGAGCACACCATGTACTAAATACATTTGTTGTAGGAAAGGAATTACCGTATTTTTCGCACCATAAGACGCACTTTTTTCCCCCCCAAAAAGGGGGGAAAATGTCAGTGCGTCTTATGGAGCGAATGTAAAGCGGCCGGTCCGGTATTTCTGCCGCCACCATGTCAGAATACCGGGCCGGCCGCTCAGCTGTTCTCTCCTGCAGGGCCTTACCTGTTCCTCTCGCTCCAGCGCTGCACAGTCTTCCCGCGCTGGCTTCTGTGACAGCCGGGTGCCCACTGCGCATGTGCTGCGCTTTGTGAATGATCCGGTGTCTTCTGGGACACATGAAAGGTCACAGAAGGCACCGGGCCATTCACAAAGCGAAGCGCTTCTTGCACCTGCGCAGTGGGCACCCGGCTGTCACAGAAGCCGGCCCGGGAAGAAGAGGGAAGGCAACTCCGCGGAAGTGGGAGCGGGTACCTGTCAAATTCAGGTACCCGCTCCCCCTCCCTCCCCAAAGGTCAGCAGTCTCTGGTCATCCCCTTCACTGTCTGCAGTCTCTGGTCATTCTGCACTGTCCGCAGTCTCTGGTCATTCCCTGCACTGTCTGCAGTCTCTGGTCATTCCCTGCACTGTCCGCAGTCTCTGGTCATCCCCTGTACTGTCCGCAGTCTCTGGTCATCTCCTGTACTGTCTGCAGTCTCTGGTCATTCCCTGTACTGTGTCCGCAGTCTCTGGTCATCCCCTGTACTGTCTGCAGTCTCTGGTCATTTCCTGTACTGTCCGCAGTCTCTGGTCATTCCCTGCACTGTCCGCAGTCTCTGGTCATTCCCTGCACTGTCCGCAGTCTCTGGGTCATTCCCTGCACTGTGTCCGCAGTCTCTGGTCATCTCCTGCACTGTGTCCGCAGTCTCTGGTCATCTCCTGCACTGTGTCCGCAGTCCCTGGTCATCTCCTGTACTGTGTCCGCAGTCTCTGGTCATCTCCTGTACTGTGTCCGCAGTCTCTGGTCATCTCCTGTACTGTTTCTGCAGTCTCTGGTCATCTCCTGTACTATGTCCGCAGTCTCTTGGTCATCCCCTGTACTTTGTCCGCAGTCTCTGGTCATCTCCTGTACTATGTCTGCAGTCTCTGGTCATCCCCTGTAATGTCTGCAGTCCATTGGTTCAGAATATTTTTTTTTTCTTGTTTTTCACCTCTAAAACCTAGGTGCGTCTTATGGTCAGGTGCGTCTTATGGAGCGAAAAATACGGTAATGTCAATTTCAGCACTGGATACATTTTGTAATAACTGAATGTCCGTCAAGAAAAGATCTATTCTCGAATAAGATTTGTGAGGTGTAGAATAGTGCATGTAGTCTCTCTCAGAAGCATGTAGACATCTCCAAGGGTCGTACAAGTTGGCTTCAGATAGCACATTGGCTAAAGAGTGTCTCAGGCTGCAAGAAGGATGGGAAACATCTAAGGAATTATTTACAATAGCGTTGAAGTCTCCACAAAATAACAAGAAGACCTTCTGAATTGTATTTACTTTTTTCCACAAGGAATTGAAAAAATTAATCTGGTGCACATTAGGAGCATAGAGGTTAACTATGGTGTAGGTAATATTGTTAATTTCGCACACAATGATTAGGTATCTACCTTTGTTGTCAGACACTTGGGACAGCAACGAAAACGTAACGGAATTACGAACTGCTATGAGAACACCACACTTTTTTTCTGGACCATTGGACATAGAAATATGTGGATACATACGGTGCGAGCAATGTGGCGTTTTAGTGGATGCGAAATGAGTTTCCTGGACACAAACCACATCTCCAGCCAACCGTTGTGCTTCTCTCCACATAGAGTGGCGTTAATACCATAGGCATTCATTGAGATTATTTTCAAGACCATGACAATTTTAGGAAAAATGATGACAGGTTGCCGTCATGTGGTGAAGAAAGGAAGTGCATGGTGGTATAAACGAATCAAATATGTAAGCTTACATAGCCCAAGGTATTCCGCAAGGAGATAAAGATGACAAACAATTAGGGTGAGAAGAAATCAAGGTACAGTATATGTATTCCATATTTTACTGATCAGGGTGCTCTGTAAAAAAAGGGGTTGACAAAGAGGAGAAAAAGACATGTAAAAAGACAAACAAAACCGTTAACGTGGAACTTTGTGTGAAATCAATCACTACGGTGAATGGGGGGTTCAGAGCCGAGAAGCGCAGCTCGTTAAATTGCTGTCCAAAAGTACAGCGGGTATACAAAAAATAAGTAGGAGGCCTGGAAAAGTAGTGACACAACGCATCATCCTGCTACTTGTTCCCAGTCGGGGTTATTTTCCTCGGTGAAGCTTTAGTAGGCACTGGCATTTCATCTGTTGGTAGGCCCCATTTTTTGGCTAACTGGAACTCCTCTTCTTCAGAATTGACCGCGATCACCCGGTTATCTTTAGTGATAATCAATTTGGTAGGGAAGCCCCACTGATATTTGATGTCGTTATTGCGTAGCAATTTCGTGAAGGAGAGCAATTTTTTTGCGTGCTAAAATGGTATGTTGCGAAAGATCGGTGAATAATATAATCCCAGCATAGGGGGCAGGAAGTGGAGTATTTTTCCGAGCAAATAGCATTAACTCTTCCTTGACGTGGTAAAAGTGAATTCTTGCTATTATGTCTCTGGGAATGTGATCAGGGAGAATTGAGGGCTTTGGCAGTCTGTGGGCCCTATCTACCACTGCTTCTCTGATTGGAGTGTGCGGTAGCAGAGCAGAGATCATTTGTTGGATATATTTTGCGGAGCAGGTATATTTTCGCCAATGCCCCTGAATTTCACATTATTCCTGCGAGAGCAGTCCTCCAAGTCCGCTAATTTTCACCTTTAAAGCTCTCACATCTTCTTCTGTCTCGTTATGTGCGTCAACAAGTTCGTTATGTGCTTTAGCAAATTCTTCCATTTTGGTTTCGACATGTAAGACTCGCTCCCCTAGACACTCAACATCCTTGTTAACTTGTGCCACAAATCCCATCATATCTTTATGCAGGAAGCCTTTGAGAGTAATTAACATATCTTTCATTACGGACGCTGTTAGGGGTAAGGACTCTGCGGGGAAATCTTCCAAGTGTTCAATAAATTCACTGGTGGTATTGTGTGAGAGTGAATTTATATTTATTTGCTCACATATAGAATGGACATCTGCAGAGCAGCGTTGTCTGTACTTCTGTGGGCTGTTTGATGGGGATGAGTTTGCAAAGCCTGCAGTCATTGCTGGGCTGGATGTATGCAGAGGAGAGCTGTGACCCTCCCCCCTCCCCTGTCCCTGGAGCTCAGGGAAGGGACGATGCCCAGCACCATGTTGAGGGGAGGGGAGGGGAGGGCCGCCCGCCGGAGTAAAATATTCCATCAATTTG